CACACTAAAATGTGTTAGTAGCATTACTCTTTTTAAGTCTTGGTAAAATGTTGGAAAGTAACCGGTTTGATTCAGAAAGCAAGGAAAGCCGAACATATATATCATAAAAAGAGGTTGAATGGCTGATTAAACCAACAAAAGAGTAAGGTAGCAACATTGGGAAGTAATAGGTCTCATCCATTCGAAAAAGTAAAGAAAAGGCAGCATGGAAAACGAATTAAAAAGGGAAATAAAATTGATGTGACGGAGCAGATCCAGCAGTGAAAGAGTGAATTGAGGGGAAGATGCAGCAAAGAGAGATCGGAGGAGAGAGGGAATACCGTAACCATCTTCGACGAGAAAATTGAAGGTGTGGTGGTCGCAATTGTAGGTGAACTTGTTGTTGGAGGAAGGTAGTTTCTGCAGACACTGAGCTGCAATTGCGGGGAAATTTCCAGTGAACTCGGTGTACTCTGCCAACACCATTGTTCCCCGAGCCACGAAGCTATATATGAACGATTCCTGACTCATTGCTCTCTCTGCAACTCACAACTCGCAACTCAGAACCAGAGAGAGAGAAAGAGCTTCCAACTCTTCGAGGCCGCGTTTGTTTGTTTGTTTTCTTTTTCTTTTTCTTTTTCTTCGTTTCAAAGTAAGAAATAAATCTCCCCATTTCCCTAATTTATTAATTAATTAATTGTGCTGCCTGAACCTGAACGGCGTTTCTCTTCACAAAATATAATAATATAATATTATTTATTTATTTATTAATTATTAAGGCACTGCGTTACGTCCATTTTCTCTTGTATTTTTTGAGCTGGAAATGTTGACTGGCTTTGACTCTCTATGAAAACAGATCTATCTGTATCAAACAATAGTCGATTTGAGGCTATTAAAGTTTTTAATAAAATGTATAATAATAATAATAATAATAATTAAGTAAAAGTAGCATAGAACTGGGGGAGGGTTTGGTGTTTGCTTTATTACTTTTCCCCGGCTTTCCTTCATTTCATTGGATTCATTTGTTCCTTACTTCCTAATATTGGATTCGGATCATGTAACAATTTAGAACGTGTTTCTATACACGTTTGTGGAAGCTATTACTAATAGCTTCTACGTTAAACGTGAAAAACCACGTTGAAAACGTGTATGCAAACACGCTATTAATCACATTAATTTAAAAAGAAAAATACATGAGATTACACATTTTATTGTCTTATAAAGAAAATTCAACTTGAATAACATTTAGAGTTTAGAGTTTGTCGTGGAATATAATTTGAGTAATAAGAAATTATACAAAATACCTTGTTATGATAAATTTATCAATAATGACTTAAAGATAATAATTAACGACAATATGCAGAAGGAAATATTACTTTTTAGGTGTATTCAGTATGGACCGTAGTAATGGTAAAAAAAATAAATACATCTTATGGAAAAAATATTAATATGTTTTAATTATAATCGTGTTATATTAAGAATGTCATTGATTGAAAGAAAAATTAAAAATATCATCTTATCAAAAGGAATATGTCAGTAGTAACTTGAAGGATCATTAAAAACAATATTTTATATATATAAAAAAAATAATGATAACGGTAACAAGAATCAAATATAAGCCTATATCTTGATACATTTATTAAAACTTGATTTCTAAGTGAACCTAGTAATTATAGAGAACTTGTAGAAATAATAATTGTTCAATAAAAAGTAATAGTACTATGCAGCAAGCTGGTCCTTTCCTCGTTTAAGGCAGAGTGTTTTTGTGTATTAGTGTAGCCTTATGTTACATTTTGTTGGATGGTAAAATAAAATTGAAGAACATTTTGTGTAAAGGTGGTGTTATTAAAATTGAAGGCCAAAATTCTTTGCAGCGGTGAGGAATTGGCAGCCAAATGCATTGAATTCTGATGGAGGACTTTGGCAATATTGTGCATTAAATTTGGACATGGACGTCATTTATGTGAGTGATGAAATTGCTTTTGAAATATAATTGAAAATATTGCGGTGAAGCATATTGTGCACCGTCGTCTCTCAAATCTCAACCCATTGCGGGCAACCATATTCTGTATGAAACGGATCAACCGAAAGCCACCGTGATATATATCAAAACAAATAATCAAATCCAACGAAAATAAAAATTTCAATCTTTACAACAAGTCTCCGTAGTCTTATTTGATTTTCCTTTTTCTTAAATGTTTTAAGTACTAATTTCTTCTCTATAATTTTATGAATTTTATTTTTTAATCTTTTAAGTTAAAATATTTTATTTTAATTTATATATTTAATATAAAAAATTAAAGAAAATAAAATTGATATATATAAGAACTTAAATAAAAAATTTATTATATAAATTTAAAAATAAATTTCAAAAAATTATAAATATTAATGAATATTCAATTTTTGTTTTAAAATTATATTACTTTCCATTATCTATTAGTAATTGTCTAATACATAATGGATATGTTGATGTAGTGGTGGAGTGTTGACATGATGGATACATGTTATTTTCACGTATATCTTTTAGTTAATACATATTATTTATTGTGCCGTCCAGGTCGAAATCCGACCTGCACCTCTATTCGGTAGTGGGGCGACCATGCCTACTCGGCACCAACCCGACCGAGGGCTCAACATAGACCTAGTCGGTCATGACTCGACTCGACCTGGGGGACTCGATTCCTCTCGCCTAAAAGGACTAAGGAGACTACTCGGCATTAACCCGACTGGGTCCCCTGCGCGGACCCAGTCGGTAAGAACCCGACTAGACTTATCCCCTTTAACCTCGCGCCATCAAGATAAGAACGGTTAGGGAAATCCCTTTATTCTCGGGGCCCAAGAGGCCCATGAACAACGTACCATAAAACCCAAAACCCTAGAGTTGAGAAAGGAGATTACACTTTTGAATGCTCTGACTTTGAGGCTAGACCTAGGTAGAAACCCTAGTCTATCCCTTGGCCGGAACATTTATGTTTTACTATTAGAGTTGGTTTAATGATAAAATTAAAATAATATATTTAAAGATATAAATTTAAATATTATTATTATTATTATAAAAAAAATAGCATAGACACATCTGCATGTGTCAGTTACATTAGTATTTTTTAAGTAAGTCAAAACAAAACAAAACAAAATCATTTTTAGCAAATATTAAATGAGAAGCAAATCGGTAAACCAACTTAATAAAAATTAATAAAAAATAAAAGACAAAAATTGTAAAATTAGAAAAAGAAAAACCGACAAAATACAATTACTGCGATTTAATGATTAAAGATAGATGGAAGTTAGAGTGAACTATCTTAAGTAATTTATGGTGGTTTATTATTTTTAACTATTAGATATATCTCATCTATATGATTACTCAATACACTCTACACATTAGATTTATTAATATTATTATTATTTCTTCCTCTTCTTTTTGTTTCTTAAATCCCATTTACACTATTTCCACCGTCATTTCTGTCTGATTAGATGTGCTTTGGTGTTGTCAAACTCGAACAATTGAACTAATAATCTGTGACCAAATGGCTTGACCCCTCCATCACACCAACACCACTTGCAACCAACAACCAAAAGAGAAATGAAATACTAAAGCTAACTGATAACATGAATTTTGCTTAATTTATAAAGCATACAAAAACTATTTAAAAAAACCAAACTGATGACAAATCAAAGATTAATTCAAAAATACACAGTTAAAGGAAGGAAAGAGGCAACACTGTATTTCCTTGTATGTGAAGATTTAAGGCAAAAGGAAGAAAGAGCATAACTTTGCAAAAGAATAATGGTGGCATGTGGAGATAAACATGGAGGAAGTCGTCGAGGTTATATGATTTTGTCAATTATAGTCGACTCCTTCTTTAGTGCAAACATTATCCTCAACGATGTGCTCAGATGATAGGGAGATACTATGTTTTGAGGAAAGTAAGGGGAGTTGAGAGGAGAGAATAATTTGTTGTAGATGGTATATGTTATCTATTCTAATAAGACTAATCTCACAATCAAAATTTATGCTCCACCATGAACTGCCTATCAAAATGGGCCACCCTAAAACTCATCTTAGAAATGGGTTCTAGAACCCATCAAAAGAGAAAGGAAATATCAAAGCTAGTCAATAGCATAAATTTTGCTTAATTTATAAAGCATATAGACGAATCAAAGAATAACCTAACCTGCAACAAGTCAAAGATAATTAAGAAATATATAATATAAATAAATTATAATATGTGAAAATTACATTCAATATATTACAATATATAAATCTTCTTGATTTCTTATGTATTTGAGAAAATAAATGAATTTATTTTATATATTACAACATAAAAATGTCTTTAAAATAATCAATACCGTACATACTTGTCAATTGTTAATTAAATAAAAATAAAAATGTATAAATTATTTAGTTTGTTTTGGGACAGTTTAAATTTAAAATGTGTAAATTTGATATCCAAACTAATCAACATCAAATTTAATTAGTCTGATTTAAGTTGGACATAAACACAAAATTTAAATATATTTAATTAATTTGGTTTGAATTATCAAATTTATCATATTAATATAAACTAATAAACATTCGTATTTTTAAGATTTAAGATAAATTATAGAGTGACATAAAAAGTCCTTGAAATTTATTTTCTAAAATTTAAATTTTGTTTATAAAATAATAAAAATAATATTCTAAATTAGAAACAAGACTATACTCAAGATAAAAATTACTAAATTAAACAATCAATTAAATATAAGGTAAAAGTTAAAAAAGCATAATACACTTTAAGTTCATTTATTTTTTTTCTAATAATGTGTAAAATTTTATCTTTTAACTTTTATAGTTTAAATTATTAGATTTAAGTTTATATATATAATTATTTAATACATTTTAATGTTTATAATTACATAAACTTTACTTTATTAAAACAAGTAAAGAAGTGGAGTGGGAGTTCACAAATGAGAAATGAGAAATGAGAAATGACATCGAAACGGCGGCGTATTAGGTGTGATTTATATATGTGGCGGTCAAAGCGGGTTTGATCTAGGTTCTCATTGAATAGGCATTTGTGGCTTTTCTCTTTCCACTTTCCGTCAATTAGTTAGTTACTGGCTTGCCAGAACCTGGAAACCCCGATGGCGATGTCGATGTCGAAAGCCACCTTCAGCTTCCACGTGGCGTTGGTGGTGGCGGTGGTGCTATTGGCGGTGTGCAACGCAGGAGCATCAGAAGAATGCAGGAAGCGATGGATCCACATAAGAAAGCTCCCTCCGATGTTCAACCTGGACCTCCTGGTAAACTGTTCGGAGTATCCGATGTTGGAGGACCTCTGCCCCTACCTAGGAAACCACGGTCTGGGGCAAAAGACACACAACCGGTCCCACAGCTGGTACCGCACCGACCCATCCATGTTGGAACTGATATTCCACAGGAGAATGCTGGAGTACCCGTGCCTGACGCAGGACCCAGCCCTGGCCGACGCCATCTACCTCCCCTACTACGCAGCCCTCGACGCCCTCCGCTACCTCTACGGCCCCGACGCCAACTCCTCCGCCCAGCACGGCCTCCACCTCTTCCACTTCCTCCAACACGACAATCCCCAAATCTTCCACCGCCGCATGTCCCACGACCACTTCCTCGTAATGGCGCGCCCTGCCTGGGACTTCTCCCAGCCCCTCTCCAACGACCCTCCCATTTGGGGAACATCCTTTCTCGAGTTGCCGCATTTCTTCAACCTAACGGCCCTCACTCTCGAATCCCGCGCCTGGCCGTGGCAGGAACACGCCGTGCCCTACCCGACCTCCTTCCACCCTCCCAACCTCGGACTCCTCGAATCCTGGCTAAGTCGTGCGCGCCGCTCCAAGAGGTCCGTTCTCGCGCTCTTCGCCGGAGGTGGCGGCGTCTCCGCCGCCCCCAACATCCGCCGGAGCATTCGGACCGAGTGCGAGAACGCCACCTCTTCCGCTTCCGATTCCGATTCCCCCTACGATACTCTCTGCCAGATTGTGGACTGCTCCAACGGGGTTTGCGAGCACGATCCCATCAGGTTCATGCGCCCCATGCTGCAGGCCACTTTCTGCTTGCAGCCTCCCGGGGACACCCCCACGCGCCGCTCCACTTTCGACGCCATACTCGCCGGCTGTATTCCCGTTTTCTTTGAGGATCTCTCCGCGAAGGCGCAGTACGGTTGGCATTTGCCCCAGCCGGAGTTTGAGGATTTCTCTGTTTTTATACCCAAAGAAGAGGTTGTCTTCAAAGGGATGAGGATTTTGGATGTCTTGCAGCGGATACCTAGGGCTAGGGTTAGGACCATGCGGGAGAGGGTTTTGGAGTTGATTCCCGGTGTATTGTACAGGAAGCATAATGCTTCACCGGGTCTCAGAGAGAAGAAGGATGCCTTTGATTTGGCCATTGATGGTGTTTTGGATAAGATTCGCTCCAGGCTTCAGGATCTTGATATGGGTGTTTCTGTACTGTAATCTTAGTTTTATTTTTGTTTCCTTATAATTACACTTTTAAGGTGGAGCATTTTTTTTTATGTTGCAATGAATCAATACAATTTCACACCAAAGCACCTAATTGTGACAGCGTACCTAGAAATAGATTTTTCTGCTGTCACCAGCATTTGGTTGTCTTATGAGATTTTCTGTTGAAGTTCACGACAGGGAAATTATTGATAAGGAATAGGGTTTTCTGCAATGTTATTTATACACGATATAAATTGTGTGGTGATTCTTTGGAATTCAATGGTTGATCCGGTTTATTGTGATCATTTAAATTCTGAATAGAAATCTATCTTATAAGAGAGTTGAAAAGAAAGATTAGGCATGCTACTCTTGGGGTTTTAAATTTAATCTTACCTGTGTTTTAGTCTTTTAGATGTTGGATTTTTTAGCGTTGGGGTTTGGTAAATACAAATCCAGGTTTAGGAGTAGGGAGGGCCAATTCTTTCACATTCCAATCCACCCAGACAGAAAAGTTTGTCTCTTAATGTGTTAGATTAACTGGTGTGTTGGAATGGAAATCCAACACATTAAGGCAACACACACTGATGGTGCTGGGATCATACTTTATAAGCAAGGCATGTTAGAAATTTTTATTTATTTGAGCTACTATTAATTGGTGTAATTTTGTTTTATGAAAATGAGTTGAATGATACTTAACATATATATTTCCCTATAGGTAAATTTGTTAAGGCTTTTATGCAGGGTCTAATTGACTTAATAGTTGTGATGGATGAATATTAAGTTCGAGTTTTAGAAACTAAAAAGACAAGATTCCACCATACAACTATAAGTTCTGTGGCTGTCATTTTTGTTCCATTTAAGAGTCAGTTGTATTAGAGAGGAGTCATGGTGGAAGAATTGTCCTTGACATGCACAAGTGAATATGAGACTAACCTTATAACAATAAATTCACTACAAAGATGTCTACAAGAAGTAAATGATTTATAGTAACCAATAAACATTGGTTTGATATTCTAAATTTTAGTATTGATTAGGTATTTAATTCTATCAAGGCACTTGGTGTATTATTTTCGCCTCATAGAATTTATGCGACTGAAGCATTTGTTGTAGTCTTCTATTCTGAATCTGTTCTATTGATCTGCTGCCTTGTTCCTTTTGCAATGAAATCTATTCTGCAGGAGTCTGAGGAGGTGCTGATTGCTGAAATCTAACACTTTCCTCTATTAAACTGTAAGTGTCTTTATTACATGCAAATTAACAAGGTTACATTTCTTATTCAGGAACAAATGATTACGTTAATTGCCTTTCATATTTTGTCCTTTTCTTTTGGGTTACAATTCATAAACTCGAGCCTTTTTCACTCCACATCAACGCTTCGCTCTGTCTAAAGATTTTGGCCCAGAACAGAACCATCATGATGAAAGCACAATCACAATGCATGCAAATAAATCGATTTTTATTGATTAATCTCGTCTTTTCATGATTTTACCTTATCATGCGTACCTCCAAGCGCAGCTTTTTGTGGTCCATTAGATGGCATTTTCTCCTATAACCTATTTATAATTTGATATCAGTTTACTGTTGTCCGGTTCTGAACTCTGAAGGTAATTAGCAGCCTGATTTAAGGGTGTTAACATATAACTAGTTTAATTTGGAAATTTTGAAATCGTTAAGATTTATCCTGTAGTTACTTTTTATTTTTTTTTAGCTGATTATATAAATTGTGTAATTGGTAGATCATCATACCCGAATGATAGAGCAGAAGGAATCCCACGGATTTTGGAAGAGGAAAATTGTAACAACCTGCGTTCAGTTTCGTAGGTAAATGCAATCAGCCATCTTATTGTCAGAGTAGTGATCTAGTAACAGGAATAATTTTCATGACAATGATAATATGGCTGTAGTTCAGGAATTTTCTCAGTTGGCAATGAAGCTAAGCTAATAAAGCATTCATATTTCACACCTTCCTATATTCCTCACATTTCTCCCGAAGCCAAAGATATGGAAATAGAATTGATACTACTTTGGCAGTCTAATTGATTCTTTTGTGTTGGACAGATTACGATCTTCTACTATTTATTTTTAACTGCAGAGGATTTAATAGAAAAAAAATAAACTGGCCTTGCAAGAAATAAAATAAAAAATATATATAAATCTAGCCGTTGGATTTGATCCGCACGTTCCTACGATTTAAATCCAATCCTCAGTAGTTCATTTTCAACATCAAATATCCTCAGGTACCAAACATCAATATAAATCTAACTGTTTAAGAAATACGGCTTTTTCTAATTTGAGATTCTTTGTTTCTTTCTTAATCGTGCAGCACAAAGATTGTTCCTCCAATTAAAGACAAACTTTCTCTGAGTTGAGGGGGATCGATTATGATTATGGTTACAGGTTTGCCAAATGGCAAAACATGGATGAAGATCCTCCTGTTGCTTAAAACGGTAATGCCATGCAAGGAGAGAAACACAAATGCAATTATATTATAATTAGTTATGTACTGTTTAATTTTTATTACCATCTCATTCTAGTAAGTTTAAATATATTTTTAATTGCTAAAAAAAATTAGTATTCTTTAACCTTTTTATTTTGTCTGAAGATTTGTTTTTGGCCTATGTTATCAAATATGTCAAATATGTTTTGTAGAGTGATAATGTCACAAATGAAATGTATATTATCATTGCCACTTGTATTAAAAACTTAGTTTAAATATGTTTATCTTGCTGAATAAAGTTAATATATAATAAAAATCTCAATCAACAATCTATCTTCAAACTAATATAATTTCTTATTGTAACATGTATAATACAAAAGTAATTTAAAATTACCTATGTAGGTAGACATAATTTGATTCATTGATTGTCCCTCAATGAATAGAGAAAATATTTTTATTCCACAATGTCTAATTTCTATGTAGTCTTAATGGGATAACCACACTAACAAATCCCACACTAACAAGGGAAAGGAAATAGAGGCCTTCTCTACGTTAAATCAATGAGTTCACTTATCCATCTAGTAAACTCACACGAGATTCATCATATCAATTCATTATAAATTATTATTTTATAATAATAATAATGTCAATATTAATTTTAATAAAATATTAATATAATGATAAGAAAATTAGGACTAATAACAACAATATGCTTTAATATTTTAATATTTAATTAATTTGAGTTTTAGAAAAAAATAATAACATTAATTATAATTGTTTAGATAATCTAATATCAGTTTATAGTTTATCTTTGAATTAACTTTTTTTGCAAAGTCAAAAACTAAACAAGGGACTAAATGATCAAAGAGCATAGATTGGAGGAGTTGGAGCAAATTGAGAGATTAAAGGAAGTAGTGGTCTTGAGTGCAGGTCAGTGGAGCAATCATTCATGAACCCATTGATAGAGGGGCTCCAAAATTTTTATTTATTTAATCTATATAATAAAATTGACTAACGTTTTTCGTAATTGGATGAGAAAATGATTTATTTGTCTTGCTTTAAATACATAAAGGATCAAAATGAAGTTTTTAAATTATAAAGGATTATAATGAATACTAATAACAAGATAAATGACTATAACTGTAATTTAATCTAAATTATATAAAAGATATATTAGAAAAAAATAAATTATTAGCAAACAATTATTCAATAATTATTTTTCTTATTTTTTCTTATTAGTCAACAAAATTCTACTCATGATTTTGGGAAAATAAACCAATAATATTAAATGTAAAAGGAAAAGTATGATATATTATTAACTTATTTCCTTTTTTTTTTCTCGTTGCAAACTTCTATAAGTATTAATGTAAAATCATAAATAAGGATTGTTTTTAATTTTTTTTTTCTTTATCTCTAATTTCTTTAATTATCTATTTATTTTTTAAATTGTGACCTATCTTATTTGTGAACTTTCATCACGAGCTTCCTTCTAATAAGTATAAGGGCATAATTATCTTTCTATTTTTTAAATCATGACCTATTTTATTCATGAATTTTCATCACAAACTTTCTTGTAATGTGTCACCATTATTATTTTTTTCAATGTGTAGTGGTTTCTAGGGTCACAAGTATAAGTATAAGGGCATAATTATCTTTCTATTTTTTAAATCATGACCTATCTTATTTGTGAACTTGCATCACAAGTTTTCTAGTAATATGTCATCATTATTGACTCATTTTTTTAATGTGTAGTAGTCTCTAGAGTCATAAGTATTAGGGCATCATTTAGTGTACCAAAAAACTGAGTTGGCCCTTGTTAAAGTACTTTAGAGCAAATTTGGTTAGAGGTGCTCCATTGTTTCATTCAGTGTTTTTAAAACTGGCTCGATCAATCTAGTAGGTTGAAGTTAGAAACGACAATCCAAGCAGTCCAAGTCTTAAATCAGATCATTTATGTATTTGACTTGTTACAAACTTATATGAATTAGTCGATTAATCAAACCCACATTCTTAGGCATGAAAAAAAACTTATGAATCTTTGTACACCAATCACTACACTAACAAGTGTAGTTGTTATATAAGCAAGTTAAATAAGTTTTATAGCATAATTAATTTTAAATTATATATTTAATAATATAACAGATATGCACATATTACATATATTATTTTGTGACATTAATTTCAAGTATATTATATATATATATATATATATCTACATGTTATTTATATTTTTTATTTGTTTTAATTTACATAGTTTAACATGTAATTTTTTCATGTATTTCTTCATAAAAAATAAAAAAGAAGAAGATAATTTTGAATAAGATAGAAATTGAATCCAAGTGAATGCGTTTATTTAACACTTGTATTTTTTGAGATTTTTTTAAAACACAATATGAATTTATTGAAATTTATAAATATGAAATATATATAACATAAATATTTTAAAAAAAATTAATAAAAACTAGACCATATAATTTAATTAATAAGTTACCAGGTAAATCTCTAATTCACTAATATAGTATTCTAACCAATTTGATAATGTTTTCGATTTTTAATACCATGCATCCATTTCCTCCTTATTTCTATAGATTTCATCCTATTGTCTTTGCGGATTTGATTTATTAATGAGATGCCATTGAAGTTTTACTGGTAGAGGTCAAGTTATCATCCCAACTACTTGTCACGAATGTACCTTCATTGGATTTTCTCAAGTGTACAAGTAGAAATAATTGTTTTTTTAATATTAATTTTTTAATTTTTTTTACTACTATGAGTATTGGAAATTATATTCATGTACATATACATAGAAAATCACTATTTTGGTCCGTCCTTCAAAATGTACCTTGTCATATTAATTTCTGAAGTTATGGAAATTTAACATAAGTTTATAAAATTTAGGTTGTTTCATCTGAATTTCAACTTAATTGTTTAGTTTTTAAATATATGTAAATATTATTACCAAAGGTACATTTTTTTTAATCTTGCACTAATGTAATTGACGGATTATACTTTAAAAAATTTATTTATTTATCATCATCATCATCAATTCTAGCCTTCCTCAGTTGCGTGTCTTTACCTCCCATGTCCCAGACTCTACCACCTATGTGCTTCAGCCATAGCCAATTAAGTGTGTGAATCATTGCAACAATTCAGCGACTTCCATGGTTCTTATTCAATGTCGGACATAATTATATGGGATCTATGTACACGTAAGGTTATCAAAACAAGTTAGTACTAATTTATCAAGTTTTTTCCTTCAAGAAAGTTATATAGGACTTGTAAGAAAAGGGTTGGTGGTACTATGAACTCGAGACAATTGTCACCAGATAGGATTAAAAGTAATAATTATTTGCTGCACTACGTTATTATTACGTGCTTCCCTTTTTAGCATTTGTCTTCAATTCATTTACTTCCCCTCTTGTGATAATACATTGATCATTTAAATTTCAAGAGCCTTCAAAAATTGTAATTAAACAACACCTCACATTAAAGTTTAATGGTCTCTTACAAAAAAAATAATGTAAAATATGACAAAGGTGAAAACAACTTGTATGGTAAACTTTTGAGAGGTGCTTCAGTTGACATATTCTAGAGGAATTTAGCAAAATTTAATGACTTTTATTTATTAATTTTATGAAAATAAAATTCTTGAAAAAGACAAGATTACTCATTTACTTACTCTTGAAATTAAAAGGCACTACTAACATATTTAATTTAAAATTAAAATTACACCCGTCAATGGTTAGCTTGTGCGTGACGTTTGAGAAGTAGGAGAAGGGTAGTTCCATAGGTCATTAATAATAATTGATGACGTGAGTGAGTTCTTTCATCATTAATGAAGTTTCCCATGTCAGAGTTGCAGAGTAAACTAAACTTCATTTTTCAAGCTTTGCTCAGCCAGGGACTTTAATTACTTTACCTACCACGTCTTTAAACTTTAAACCTCCCTTCATTCCTGCTGTCCAAAGCTGCATTAGTGCAACCTCTACCACAACAAATTTTTACCTATTTAATACTTTTCCTTTTATCTCTTTCAAATTACATATTTATCTCACACTTATTTTTTTTAAAATTATAAATATTAAAAGATAAGATAAGTAAAATTATAAAGACTATAATATATATTTTTTTCTCTCAAACTTTATTATAATAAAAGTTATTGCATAAATATCATTATTTTTACTAGGATAAAATCATAAAAGAGTGTACCTGACGACGTTTAAGAACCATAGTTGGTGGCTCAATATACGTAGGATTTTGTGGACCCATAAAATCCTGCAATCATAGCATCAATAATAGAATTTAAGAAAATATAATATTTTGTTATAGTTTTTACATAAACAGCAAATATAATCACTGAATGGTTCATTACTTCATTTAATTTATAATTCAGTAAAGTTGATTTTGAAATAAAATATTTTAAAAAATTAAAATTATATTTAGAATAATATTTAAAAATTAAATTATTTTTTATTTTTAATTATAAATATAATGCATGTTTGATTCAGCATTTTATAATAAATTTTTATGTCTAAATCTTATATTTATGCAGAAATTATGAAAAATTATTTCTGTTTCACATGAAAAATTACGTCACAAAATTCAAACCAAACATGCATATAAATGTATTATTTTGTGTTCAAGAATAATTATACTTCTACATACTATAAAAGTTGAAAATTTTATTTTTTAAAAAATAATTCTACTTATCAAAAAAGTAATTTTGAAAATCCAAAAAATCAAACTAGATGTCATTATTGTTGTATAATTTATTATTTTATAAATAACTCTTAAAGATGATTATGGATACAAATAAACAAAAAGTTGGTGTTTTATTTTCTAAAAACACATTTTGAAAAATATACACTTATCAATTCTCTTCCTTAAAAACATTTTTTTAATTGAAAAGGGTCAATCACTCCATCAAATATTAATTAAAAACCAATGGTATAAAGTTGAGAAGTTACATTAATTTTAACAATCAAATTAAAAAAAAAGACATAACATCAAATACAGGTAAATTCTCTTTTAGAGTCATCTAAAGTGGATTAAGTTAATTGAGTAAAATAAGAGTATATTTAGATAAAGTTTTAAAAGAGTTTTAAAGAATTTTTTTATTAGAAAATATTGTTTATTTTTTATATATAAAAAAAAGACTTCCAAAAGTTTTCAAGACTTAAATGTGCAATTGGTTTGTAGTTAACACAAATTTTAAGACACCTCAATTAAAAAAATATTGTAAAATTGTTGGATTGGATTAAACAAGTTTTTTTTAAACATTTTAAACACAAAACCAAATATACTCTAAGGTGAGTTGTTTTAAATTTAAATGATATAAAAAATTATATACGGTCTCAACTCATTATTAGATAGTTCATAATCATTAAATGTTTATAATTTTAACTAAATATTGTATGATATATATTTAAAATTTTCAATTTATGAGAACATAATAATTATTTTAATTATATTTCATGTAAAAATTAATTAAAAATTATGTGGTCTAAGACCATCCAGTAATTTTTCCAGCGTATCACTTCAATTCTTTCTCCTCCCACTAATTCACTTAAACCACCTTATAATTCCTGAAAGCTCAAAGAATTAAGGTTGATCAAAGAAACCCTAGGAATAGAAGAACAGAAGAACACTTGAAACAACACGTTCAAGAGGGCTGAGTTGAACTGATGATGTTGTAAATAGTGGACAAAATCAAAGTTGGTTCGGATTAGATATTTCATTTACACCCTAAATATTGCTGCAGTCACTTCTCTTCCTAAATAAATCCATATGCCATAGCAGTCTAGTCCTTTCTTTGCTGACCCAAGTGGGTAAAATGAAGTGATTTTAGTCCAAATTAGAAATATTTAAGACATGCTTTTTATTCTGATGAACCCTCATCTAGGTTAGCCCACATATTCATTATTTCGTCTTTTCCACTTTTCTCATAACTTTGGCGTTTTTACCTTGTCCTATATTATTTCTTACCTTCTACAGTATTTAGTATTAAGCTCGTCTTCAAGATTCATAACAAGCTAAAAAATACAATGCAAAAATAATCGAGTTTTCTTCAAAAATAAAAAAGGATAGTGGTCAAACTCAATCTGTCAAAACCCAGAAATTTTGTTTCTATGCGTTTGTACATGGCAGGAACTTTTGGGTGGTGAATTGGGAAAACCTGGTCCTAATGAAACTCAGCTCGTTAGCTAATAGCCTCCACCTATAACACGTACAAATTTTAAAACCAAGAATAAAAGTTACTGTTATCCATGATAAATACGACATATGTGAAATGTGTGGATGAATTAAATAATCCTTCCAAGAAAAATAATTATTCTTTCCTGTAAACCTTTGACAAGCAACAAAAGGTTAGTACATGTAGAAGGGACAAAAAATAAAGAAATAGAATTATGATGGTATAATAATAACAATGGGGTATTAGAATTTATATTTACATTATTGGTTGGTTAAAAAAAAATGTGAAAATGATGTGGGAGGGGAAAAGAAAGCAGAAGCAGCAAGTGTGTTCTTGTGTCATTGTCACATTATACTTTGATAGCCATTCTGGCCTGCTTTCTTTGCTCCCCAACGGAGTACACACCACTGCTACATTCTTGGCATTTTCCCTCTCTTTTTTCTTTCTTTCTTAATTTTTAAATACCACTTTCATATAAACTCTCATTTTCCCTTCCTCCTCACTTCTCACTTCTCACAGATACACTCCCTCTAATGGATGCAAACTCTTCTGCTCAACAACTTGTTCCCTCAGAGCCATTGAAGTATCAGGTACCTCTCTCGTTACAAAGACTTGTTCTTAACTTTCTCTCATGAAAATTTTCTACTAAAGTTGCTTTCTTCCCTGTTCCTCAGACATGGTTCTTGAAAGTTTCCATCCACTGTGAAGGTTGCAGGAGGAAAGTTAAGAAGGTTCTACAAAGCATTGATGGTAACTCAAAATTTTTCCCCTTCTCTCACCACTATTACTCTCCATATTTAAATATTTTTGGCTCGCATGCATGAATAAATTAAAAATCCAAAATTTGACTGTGCAAACAAAAAAAAATCTGTCACTTTCTTTCCCTTACCCTATTTTCACTGTGCTAGGGTCTGCACTATTTATGGGTTCTTACGGTGACAGAGAAATTTTGACTTTTGAATTGGTAGGTGTTTTTACCACAGCGGTTGACCCGCAACAGCAGAAAGTAACGGTGACGGGAAGCGTGGGAGTTGAGACGCTGATAAGGAAGCTGGTCAAAGCCGGAAAACACGCCGAGATTTGGCCGGAGAATCCCGCCGGCGGGAGGGGAAAGAATACCTCCGGCAAAGACAAGAAGCAGAAGAATAAGAAGGAAGCAGAGAGCGTGGAAAAAGGCAAGACCAAGACTGACGATGGAAAAAACAAGGGAAACGAGAAAAGTGCTGAAAAACGCAACGGCGGCGGCGGCGAAAGCGAGGCGGCGGAGCAAAAGGGTGGGCAAAGTGAAGGAGGCAAGAAGAAGAAAAAGAAATGTCAGAATGGTGATGGTGATGGTGTTGGTGCACACAGGGGATCGCAGCCCCAGATGCAAATGAATCTGAGCCCTACACGTCAGCAATCATACTTATATCCAGAAGCTTACTGTTATCCCCCACTGGTGTATCTGGCAACACACAACAGGTTGAGTCCCATGGGAACAGTCGCTGCTCCTTCTTACTATGTTTCGCCATTCCCCTATGACCCTTATCATCATCATCGCCTTCCCTTCGAGATCTTCAGTGATGAGAATGCCAACGCTTGTTCCATTATGTGACCAATTCAAGATCCTGCCTTTTCTTTTCTTTTTGATGCTCCTAACTACTTTTGTATTTGATGCTATACGTCCTTCTGGTGTCCTTGGCTTTTCCAGGGAATCATGTTTTTTTGTTTTTGCATTTATCATATGAAAAATGCCCAACTTTAGCTTATTTTGATTTTGGACCAAACTGTAAATAATGTTTTAATATGGAGCTAGCCTTTAGATGTTCATGTGTATTATTGCTATTATTTTTATTGTTATTAGATAAGATAAATACCATGTCACGTCCAAAGGCCATTTCATGAGGCCTGTGTGTGGCAGTTCTGGCAAACTAGAGGCATAGAATAAATAAAGGTAGATAAGAGAGGTTGACATTAGCTTATTCTCCATGATTTGGCATCTAAAAGCTTATCTCTAAACTTTATACAAGTTCAGTTTCGAAATGGTTTGCAAATTCTGTAACTTACTATAAAAATCTTTCTTTCATGCTGGGAATGGAGGATCTCAGTTAGAACACACACTTTTTGTAACTCTTTAAGCGAAATGAGTAATAATTTAGGGAAAAAACTGAACCTGGTTAATCCTCTTGGAGAGTTAGGGCTACATACATTTGCTCAAAAAACGAGGACACTTGTAAAGCCCATTGACCAAGCCGTGATTAGTGCCGTGTTTGATTGCTGTTTTTTTGGGACATAGTAATATATGAGGTTTCACGGTTTCAACTTCCTCGTTATGAAGAATAAAATCATGCAATTTTTTATTTTATAATATGACTATTTGTATTCACGCAATGAAACAGATATCTATTCAGAATGAATATAGTTGTTTATGTGAATTTTCGTTTTTCAGTGAAGCGCGATGTAGTAGTACTAATTATGAATTATTATAACTGCAAAAGTGTGTAGAAAAATTCATTATCATGGTTCAACTGCATAACCTGACGCATATCAAAAGGATTTGTCCTTTGTTGAAATTCCACAGATGGGTCAAAACAGGATCACTTCAAAGTCAAATTATTTTGTTCGAATAATGTATGTGTGGTGACGGTGTATTATACCATTATTCGCTCATCTCATCCAGATTCCTGAAATTGCAACATGACGGTATTAAAGTAATGATTATCATCTTCGTCCGTTTCAAGATTAATTTTTGTTTGTCAAAATCTCATTTTACCCATTTCGGCATAGCATCTAAAAAAGCAATGAATATCTTGCGAATGGGAGACAAGCGAGTGCAAGGGAGGGTCGAGTTTCATGATATCCGTCCTATTTTCGTGAGTCAAACTCATTCTCATTCCTGTACTTGTATTTGTCGGGTATGTGATTTTTATTTCCATTCCCGTCTCTGTCTAGTATTGGGTATACTCGTATCCGTCAATTTTTTTATTTTTTTATTTTTTTTAAAAAAATATGATATTTTTAAATTATTTTTTTTATTATATTATAATTATAATTAGGTTATTTCTTTATCTCATATTATAATAAATAATCACACATATAAATATATTAAAATTCTTTAATATAATTAAATTGAAAGTGAATATTAAATTAAAAATGGAAACGAGAACGGGTACGGGTATGAGTACGGGGCGGGTAAGTACATACCCGTACCCGGTCAAACCGGATATTTCTCGACAAAGTCGGGATAGGTTCAGGTATTACCTGCGGGTACGGGTATATTTGTCATCCCTAAGTGCAAGTGCTTAAGATATGGACTGTACAAAAAAGGTAAAGAAATAAATAAGAATAAAATGAGTTTGATATTTTTGTGTAAATGGATGGATCCATCATCCATGGTGAGGCATGAGTGAAGAATTAATGGATGAGTGGATTTTGCATGTGAGTGATTCAGGTTGTGGACCTAAAGCAGTAGCATTGTGAAGATGAGTGAAATAAAGTTGAAAAAGGAAGAAGCATGTGTGAGACTGAGTGTGAGGAGTAGTCCATTATGAGAAGATAAAAAGGTGAAACAATCAGTCGTGCATTCAAGTGAAAAACACAGACCGCGATAGGACAGTGCCGTCGTTCAACTCATTAGGAACAACAATTTTTTGAGACTCCAAAACTTTAAAAATTCATTCATCTTTAAAATTCTAACTTAATTTTCAATGCTGGAAGTACTTGTATACACTCAAGGTGATAATTGTCTTGAGAGTGATAATTGTCCTTTGTTCTTCCATGTTAAAAATATCCAAAGCTTGATGAAAAACTAGTGGGTTAGACGTGTGTGTCTAATCTATTTAGTGTTTAACTAAAAATATAGAATGATTTGAGAATCGGTGAAACTCATTCTATTTAACTCTTTTTTTATACATATCATTTATTTACAAATAAATAAATAATATTATTTTTTAATTCTAAATTTTTTAGAGATGTTACAATTACATGTTAACATATTATCATAAATACAACATGAGATAGTCGCATGATATTTTGATAGCAAATAAATACATAACAAATGGCACGTAATAGTAAAGATAAAAATAAATGACTTCAAATTTTTAATTAAGAAAGTAAAAGAAAAAAATTATAAAAACTAAAATCAAATTTTATTTATTCACAGAAACTAGAATATATTTAAGCTTTAATTATATATATATAAAAAATATCTTTCCTTAAGAATAAAAAAGATACAAAAAATCATTTTACATGAACATTCGTTAAGTTATCGATTAAACTAATTTGGTTAGTTAGATTATTAATTTACTTGAAAACCAACCAAATCATAATAATTCGATCAATAACATTTTCATTCAAACCAATTCAGATTGATTATAACACCTAAAATGAGCTACATAAGTTTAAGTAACCTCTAAAATAAAAAAAAATAAAAAAAATTGTAAGTCAATAACTTGCTAACTCAGCCTAACCCTTTAGAAGGCGATAGGCCATATGGGATGGTTTATTGGCACCATGAAGAGTAATATTGACAAGCATTTTCAACTAGTTTCTAGCTAATTTAATTTTTTAAGCTAAAAAACTTATTAGATCGTATTAAGAATGTTTGATAAACAAATTTAATTCAATAACTTGTATTTTTTGAGATGCTATTTTTGTAAGTGTTTTGAATTCTATATTTTTATAAACAAAACCTAAAAAAAGTGCTGGGTTAGGAGTTTAATTCTCGAGTCTTGAGTGTGCACATAAAAAACGGTGATACTATTCAGCAATGTTTACAAATGATCGGACCTAATAGTCCTCGTAAAATGCCAATGCCCATATCCATATATACACTTTAAATATAACAACTTGAACCTAAGAAATACTACTTAAACAAGAGCGTCCTGTGAAAAGCTACATAGGTACAGTTTTTTTTTTTTTTTTTTTTTTTTTTGGG